ACAGGGCATCAGCAGGGCCATTGAGTCCTCCGCACGTCGGGCACCACCATCCGGGCGGCGGCGGCGGCACGGCCCACGGGGGAGTGCTGCCACTCTGCCCGCTGTGGCCGCCGCCCGAGCTGGCCTTGCCGCTGCCCTTGCGGCCCTGGCCGCCCTTGCCTCCGCCTCCAGCACGGCCTGACATCAGCCCGTTGCTGTGGTGCGCGCGCAGCCTCGCCGCGGCAGCGGCGACTCGCAGCAAGGTGCGCGACTGCGTGCGCCGCTCGCGAGCGCGCCTGTGCCAGGCGGGCTCGCTCACTCGCAGCCGGCGCCGCGCCCTGCTCGAAGCGGGCGCCCGCGCCGTCGTGCGCCTGCCCACTCTGGGGGCGTCGCACGCCGCAACGCAGCAGCACGGCCGGCCCGCACGCCACCAGCGATGGCGCGGGCGAGCGCGTATGGCCGCCAGTCCCGCGAGGCTCCGCAGGTATCCTGTATACCTGCACCCAAAAGCCTCGGGCCGGGACGGCGGCTTGGGGAGGGGGAGGGAGGAGGGAGGGGATGGCAGGGGATGGACGACAGAGGGGAGGGGCAGGAACTGGGCGAGAGAGGGACTGGGTCGGGCCTGTCCCCCTACGGGCCGATTTCGGACGGAAACCAAACAAATGCCCTAACAATGCTCCAACAATGCAAAACAAAAAATCGTACCCGTACTATTTTTTAAACTATTTTTGAACATTCCCCCTGAAGAGGGACCGACTTAAAGGAAGGACCACTGACCGAGGGGCGCTTCCAAGGTTCCCACCCTCGATCCGCCCATCCCGAACTGGAGTTGACCGCCCGCGGCCAGGAGGCGGACCCCCTTCGGAACTTCCCAGGCAGCAGAGCCCGCGGGGCCTCGAATGGGGCAAATCCCCGAGGGAAGCGGCTCGGGGAGCGGGACGGAGGGACGCCGAGAGGACGATGGGGAGGTGGACCGCTCGGGGATCGCGCGGAAGCCGTCCCCAGTGCGGCCTCTCGAGGCGCGACCGACAAGATGACCTCTCGGGACCACGATGACCGCCGGAGAGTGTGCGGATGCTTCGGTGAAGCCCTGTGTGGCTGTCTTCGAGAGGCCGCCTGGGGGAGGGAGGAGCAGGAGCAGGAGGAGGGAGCCGGAAGAGAAAAAGGGTGAGGAGGAACAGGAAGAGGAGGAGGGAGAAGAGGAGGATGGGGCCCAGGAGCGGCGCGCCTTGCCCAGCGATGCTGCCGTTGCCGCTGCTGCTGCTGCTGCTGCCGATACTCCTCCACCTACACCACAGACATCCCAGAACCCCATGCGGGAGCCGCCGAAACCTCGCTGCATTGTGACACGGCTATCTCCCTGTCAACATGTTCCTCCCCCTTTCCGCTTCCTCCTCCTCCTCGTCCTCCTAATTACTAATCCTCATCTTGCCCCTCCTTCTGCAAGCCCCCCCCCCCGAAGCCCAATCATCTGGCCTGGCGACCGACGCGGCTGCGGTGACGCTGACCGCTAGGGACTCCCCTGTGCGAGTCGGTGACTCGGGCGGATGCGATATCGTGGCGGCGTCGACAACAACAGCAGACACGGTGATAACAGCCGCGATGCTGGAGATGACGGTTACGATGACGACGACAAGACCGATGACGGCGCCGATGCTCATCACGCCGACGACAATGGCTCTGTCCACATGTTCATGTTGACATGTTGATGAGGGTCTTCAGCAGACTTCGGCATGCGCGCGCGGCCGTCTGGCGCGAATGGCCCGCATAGTACTAAGTCGGGCGTGTCCCCCTACAGGGGGATTTTCGACGAAAAATAAAAAATCATCCTGACGAAAGTCCCAACCATATGCAATTGTGGGTACCGTAATTGTGAATATCTGCTTCGGTGAAGCTCCCTATGGGGCCACGAAGCGCTGCACTGGGCGGGGGGGGACGCTGTACTGTGTGGGTGGTGTGCCGAATTGGGTTTCTCGGACGCATGCGGACGGTCCCACTGAGGGCTTCGGTGGAGGTTCCTATGGGGCCACGAAGCGCTCTACTGAGTGAACATACCAAATTGGGCTACCGGGGCGCATGCGGACGGTCCCACTGGGGGCTTCGGTGGAGCCCCCTATGAGGCCACGAAACGCTGCACTGCGCGGGTGAAAATGCCAAAATACTTTTCCCGGACGCATACGGACGGTGACACTGGGGCCTTGGGTGGAGCCCCCTATGGGGCCACGAAACCGCTGCGCTGGGTGGGTGAAAATGCCAAATTGGGCTTCTGGACGCATGCGGATGGGGGCACTGGGGCCTTCGGTGGAGCTCCCTATGGGGCCACGAAACGCTGTACTGGGTGGGTGAAACGCAGGGAGGAGGGGGAGGAGGGCCACGAAACGCTGTACTGGGTGTGCGGGACGCATGCGGACGGTAGCGCTGGGACCTTCGGTGGGGCTCCCCATGGGGCCACGAAACGCTGTACTGGGTGTGCGGGACGCATGCGGACGGTATCACTGGGACCTTCGGTGGGGCTTACTATGGGGCCACGAAACGCTGTACTGGGTGGGTGAAACGCAGGGAGGAGGGGGAGGCAGGCCACGAAACGCTGTACTGGGTGTGCGGGACGCATGCGGACGGTAGCACTGGGACCTTCGGTGGAGCTCCCCATGGGGCCACGAAACGCTGTACTGGGTGTGGGGGACGCATGCGGACGGTAGCGCTGGGACCTTCGGTGGGGCTCCCCATGGGGCCACGAAACGCTGTACTGGGCGTGCGGGACGCATGCGGACGGTATCACTGGGACCTTCGGTGGGGCTCCCTATGGGGCCACGACACGCTGTACTGGGTGTGCGGGACGCATGCGGACGGGGACCTTCGGTGGGGCTCCCTATGGGGCCACGAAACGCTGTACTGGGTGGGTGAAACGCAGGGAGGAGGGGGAGGAGGGCCACCAAACGCTGTACTGGGTGTGCCGGACGCATGCGGACATTGGAGGAGGAGGGGGAAGAGGAGGAGAGAAGGAGAACGCGGGGACGGTCTCTTCAAAACGAGGACCCAACACCACAGCATGGTCCATTACTAATAAATTATCCCAAAATTGTCAACAAACTAATATTTAAAAATAGTCCCCAGACTATGTTTTGACTATTTTTGAATATTCCCCCTGTAGAGGGACAGGCGCGACTTAAGCATAGTATTATGTGACAACGTCGGTGCCCCTCCCAGCAAGTGAGCAAGGCGTTCGAATGATTTCGACATGCGCACGAGGGAGGCCCGCTCGGTCGCATCTGATGAGCACTAAAGAAACACCTCTAGCTGTCGTAAGGATGCTGAGAGTGCGCGCAGTTGCTTGAAACATCTTGTTGCGCAGCCATTGTTTGCTCGTGCGTGTCCAGGAACGTCGATCTTTGAACCCCTACGAAACGTTCAGTGTTCAATTAATTCCTGCATACATGCGCGATGACAGGGGCGTGTGGGCTTTCCCTTAAGTGTTTGAAAAGGTCTTTTAGAACTTGCAAAACGCTGATGAACGAATGCGCGCGCATAGTATCATTTGTCACGCGTGAGGAGGGGGGGGCGGTACCTGCCTGCCTGGGATGTTATTGTACTCGCATGGGGCAGAATCACATGTACATTGCAATGCGCGAAGCCAGCCGGATGATCCCGCGGGAGGGGGGGGGGATGATCGAATTCCTTGTGCAGACGGGTGACTTAATGCAAAGCAGCGCAAACAATGCAAAGGAATGCAACGCAATGCATTGCACATCAGCGCAATGCAAAATCAATGCAATATCAATGCAGAGAAATGCAAAGCAACACAACGCAATGCAAAAGGCACAATGCGACGCAAAGCAACGCACAACACTGCCAAGCAACGCAACCAAATGCAACGCAATGCAACGCAATTCAAAGCAATACAAAACAATGGCATGCAATGCAACGCAATGCCACACAACGCCAAGACATCTCAAGCACTGCCAAGCAATGTAAAGCAATGCAACTCAACGCAAGTCAATGCGAAGCTATGCAAAGCAATGCAACGCGAAGAAATGCAAAGCACGGCGAAGCAATGCAAACCATTGTGAATAAAAGCAAGCAACGCAAATACATCAATTCAAAACAATGTGCTGCAATGCAAGGTAACGCACAGCTGTGCAAAATAGCGCAGGCACAAATGGCGACGGGGCGGCGACGCCGACCATTTAGCCGCCAGACCGACTGGCAGGCCACAACGACGGGCATGCCACAAGTGCAAACACTGCTCGGGGTCCATCAGAAGAAAGGTATGCGCGAACATTGTGGTGTATATCCGCCACCACGCTGAAGGGACGAAGGGGAATGCGCGAAGGCTCACACCCGCGCTGCTGCTGCAACCAAGATCACAAATTCTTTACACAAACACACTGGAGGTCGGAAAAAGGGGTTGGGCATAAAGGGGTATGGTGCCAATCGTGGAAATTGCCATGCTATCTGCGATAAATAACAGCGCCACATTCCCCTTTTCATCAAATGGGGGCCCTCTTGCGGCGTCTTGGGGCCCTCTTGGGCCGTCTTGTGCACCTCTCGGGGCCATGCTGGGCGTGTTCGGGCCCATTTTGGAAGAACATTGGAGGCCCTGCGGGCCGTCTCGGAGGTTCGGAAGACTGGGAGGGCGAGAATGCGAAACTCATAACAAACATTGTTCTTCTGGTGGGCCTCCCTTTGGGCCGTCTTGGGAGCATGTTGTGCTGTATGGTGGCACTCTTGGGGTGTCATTCGGCCCATCTTGGCCGTCTTGGGGGTCTCCTGGGTATCTCCTCGGGGCCTCCGTGGGCCACCTGGGGCTGTTTTGGGCTCACCAGGAGCGCTCGGAATCCAGGCTCCTCGTGTCTGGGCGGATCCGACGTTCCATGCGTGACTGAACCGATTGCACGTGTGCAACTCGAAACTGGCAAAGCAAAACTGAGGACCCCATCGTCGCCTCAATCCTCCCCGCCCTCGGCTTGGCCCAGCGACGGCAGCGGCAGCGACCCCCTAAGCGTTCCCAACAGCGCACGCGCCTCGGGGCCCCGCCTCAGCTCGGCGATGGCCACCCTCGCGCGGTCGCACGGAAAACACCTGGGCAAACTGGGGAAGGACGAACATACACATGTTTGTATGTACACAGTGAGGGATCAGGCGAGTCATGGCCGCATTGCGAACAATGCTGCGCATTTGACAACCGTGCTCGGCGGCTGACAGTGGGGTGCGCTGAAACTCAAGCACAAGTTCATGTCAAATGTGCGCGAGGGATCTCAAGAAAGTAATGGTCGCGATGCACACAATGTTGCGCACTTGACAACCGCGCTCGGCAGCTGACAAGAAGGCTCTTTGGACCGTTTTGGACAGGTATGGGGGTCTTCACGGCGGATTCCCGCCTGGTGACAGCGAGCTCGAAGCCGCTTAGAACTTATCAAATATCGTTCAGAAACAGTCGTAACATGCAGAGGATTCGGCTCGCGGAACTCCTTGGGCATGTTGTCGGCGGCTTGTTGGGGCGCATTGGAGGCATATGGGGTGCCTGGAGGCTGTTTTGGGCGTCTGGAGTCGCTGTTTTGGGCGAGAGGAGGCATCCCTGGATCGTGTTTGGCATTCGGGGGGGGCTGGTTAGCGGCTTCGGGGGCCTTCTTACGACGGCAAGCTGGGGCTGTTTCCGGGCCGCGTTAGAGGCCTCGTGGGGCCGTTCTGGATGACACCGGAGCTGGACACGCGCACGCGTGAAAATCCTGCAAAAAAACCCTCTTCAAATGCATGGAATTCGGCCCTGGTGGCCCTCTTGGGCAGATTTTCGGCGGCTTCTCGGGGCGTCTCGGAGGCATCTTGGACTGTCTGGAAGCTGTCTTGGGCGTCTTGGGCTGTTATTTTTGCAAGGAGGGGCTCCCTGGATCGTGTTGGGCAGGTCTGACGGGCTGGTTCGCGGCTGCATGGAAGCCTGGGGCCCTCTGGGGCTGAATTTGGGCCGCATTGAGGTTTCCTGGCCCGTCTCAGAGCGAACTTGGGGGCGTCGGGAGCCGTTTCGGATTGCACCGGAACAAGACACGCGCACGCGTGGAAATCATTGAAACAACCCGGGTAAAATGCACGGTATTCGGCCATTGGGGCCTCTTGGGCAAATTTTCGGCGGCTTCTTGGCTGTCTGGAGGCTGTCTTGGGTGGCTCTTTTGGTGCGCGTGGGCTGGTCTGGGCCCCTCCGGGACGGCTCCGCGAGGCCCGTGTTTGGCATTCGGGAGGGCTGGAGAAGGCCATCTGGGGCTCTTGTCGGGCCGTGCTACACTCGACCAGAATAGTAAGGATGCGCGGTGCGGATGCAAGGGCCTTGGAACGCCATGTTGACGTTTCCCGTGCGGAGAGCAGCAGAATGCCGAAGAATGCCGAATACCGAAGGGGCACGGATGCAAGGGTAGCCTTGGAAAGTTGCCCCATCCTTACTATCATGATTGACTGTAGAGGCCTCCTGGACCGTCTAAGATCGAAGTGGGAGGCGTCTGGGGCCGTTTCGCACCGGAGCTGGACACGCGCACTCGTGAAAATCTGGCAAAACCTTACAACCGAATGCACGAATTTCGGCCCTTGGGCCTCTTGAGCAGAAATTCCGCGGCTTCTTCGGGCGTCTTGGAGGCATCCTGAGCTGTCTGGAGGCTGTCTTAGGCGTTTTGGGTCGCTCTTTTGGTGAGCGGGGGCGGCTCTGGGCTCCTCAGGGGCGGCTTCTGGAGGACCGGGGCGCCCTGGCGACGCGGGGCCGCTGGTAAGGGCGCCCAAAGCGACGCGGGGCAGCTGGCAGCCCCCACCCCCCCTCTCTAAGCCGGTGTATAAGTAGATGCATTTGAATACGCATAGAAAACTCATTATATGCAAATCTATGTATGTGTGTGCATGCAAACAAACAAAACAAACAAACAAACACACAAACAAACAAACAAACAAACAAACAAACAAACAAACAAACAAAACCACACACACACGAATACACACATACATGCATACACACATGCATTCATGTATAAACATACATAAAACAACAGCGCAGCGATCCTCGCAAATCCTCCTCTTGCTCAAGGAGGGCGTCACGCTGGCATGTGGAGTGATAAATAATGTGCGCAATATTGCTCGTACGCTCATTGCTATCCTGGACGGCCTCGGTGCTTCCTTTATGGATGTCCTGCGCAAGCGTCGGCAGAATCAATCTTCTACGGAGCGTTAAGGAGGGTGCTCCCGGCACAGGCCGTCGTCACCATTGTCGAGTCGAACAACATCAAGTGGAAGATGCTGGGCCCTTTCGATGCCTACAAGAGTACGGGGTAATTGGCAGTCATGAGGGGCCAAAAACGGCCAGGGTGGCGAACACAAAACCGTCTTTTCGGGACGGGTTGTCAGGCTCAGCCTTGCACATTTTGACTCCCGAGTTTCGGGACCGACCGTTTCGAAATGAACGGCTGCCTGTCCATCTCTTTCCCGGCTCTAATTGTACTGTTGCTGGCTCGGCGGGTTAGGGGTGAGGGCCAATTGCAGCCACGAGCGCATTCCACCTGTAAGCTGTCCGATGTGGTTGTTCTGCCGCAGAGCCGTTCACAGTGCTTGACCGTACTTGGCCGCCCTCGCTGAGATGTCATCGCTCTGGAGACCTTTTTCCGCCAGGCGCTTGTTTATGCGACGTGCGAGGGTCCATGAACACACTTCGTTCTACGAACGCACAAGTCGCGAGGAACGCACGTGGGTCACGAACGCCAAGATGCACAGCAGCGCCAGTCAAGCATCGTGCTGCTCCGGATCGTCGGAAAATTCGCCATGTGGATGTGTCCGTCAGAGCCACGCTCGAACCGAACTACAGCTTGCACGCGGAGGAAACCATCCCACAAGCGTAACTACATGTCTGCGGCCGGGGTCTACATGTCTGTTGCTCGCAAAATTGTTCGGAGAGGTGGCTCAGACTGTTCCCCCTTGGGCTCGCCGTCGAAACAAAACTGCCGCCTTGGTGCCTCCTGCCCTGCCGCCGGGGGGGGGCCGGCTGCCCCGCCGCGCACCTCCCGTCAAGACCCGCGGCGCCGCCGCGGCGCGGGAAGCACCGGCTCGGGGCAAGCTTTGCTACCATGGCATTCTGCTGCCGCTTCGGTGGACGGCGCGCAGCGGGCCGCCTCGGATCCGTGGCGGGCCCGAGGGCCGTGAAAAAACTGCGCTGGTTCCGCGGCGGGTCCGCAGCGGACCCGCGTCGGGCACAGGAGCACACACCAATTAGGGGGACTGACGAGGTCCCCAGGAATTGCATCGTAAATGGCGGAGGGGAGAGAAACGCGCAGAAAGCGCACGGGAGAGAGAAAGAGGGAGAGAGATCGGGGGAGCCGACCGTGCAATTATGCGAGGGGTCGTGGGAGCCGAACATTAAAGTTGGCACGCTTGCACTGGCTCGCGCTCGCAAACCTACCCAGGAGAATGTCTGGCGCGCGGGGCGCGCCAGGAGCGCCAGAGGGTGCCACCTGGGGGGCCCAGCGCCGATCCGAGAAATGTGCGCGGACGTCTGAAATATTGTTTATGCAGTTGTTTCTTCTTCGGTCTAGGTGTTCAGTCCTACTTAGCACAGCGGCGGATGCAAACATAGTCAGGTAAATGTCCCCGTAGCTGGAATTGACTAACCTAGGCTGGCAGAACAAAAGTCCGAAGCATCGCGAATCACTGCGCCTAGAGCCTGCCGAGGTGCAAGATCTCCCGAATTTCATTTAGGCTTCGTTGGTGTGTCGCCGACAATGCTCTGACATCTGCGTGCAACTTTTGCAAGTCGAAATTAGTGGCAGCTCCTTTCAGCAGCATGCAGCCGTCGACAAACGTCTCGATCCTCACCTGTCCGTCGTCGTCGGCAGCTTCGGCCATGTGACTGAAAAACTCGAGGACATGATGCTTTTGGAGACCTAGTAATTCGAGCAACATGGGTATATGCTTCTTCCTCAAGCCGTCCTCGAACTGATCTCGCGTCAACTTCCCTGAATCGTCTGAATCGACGTTTTTGCAGAGCTGAATGAGCTTCTTGGCGTTCTCTTGCTCTCGGCGAGAATGCTCCTGGGCGAGCGTCTCCGAGTTTGGCGAAAGGGCCATCATTGCTGACTCCACGAAAATACCCGTGATAATCCGCCAGTCCAGAGAGAGAAACATTGAAATGACATATCATGTCACTGAAAAGATAATCTCGGGTAGATGCCACCCGGCTGTAGGCCTAGGTTGCTGCCCCCTGCGCCAGTTGCAGTTTCAAGTCTCCAATGTTACAATCCTGCTTTCTGCTTCCTACTGTAATTGTTTGAAGTCCGCGCGATGGGGGGGAGCCCCAAGCCGGTAATTCACCACCCCCAAATCGCGTTGCCTGAATTCCCGGGGGGGCGTGGGACATGTAAACACACACGAGATTCGCTCCCCCGGTGCAGGTTTTTTGTGGAAAGATTACACAACGTTCACGTCCCCGAAGGCACAAACCCTTATCAGTTAAACATTTGTTGCGCCCCCGAGGCAACAAACCTTTGTACATTTCGCCATATTCGCGTCCCCGAAGCCATAACCCTTTGTAAATTATAACATGTTCGCGTCCACGAGGCCACAAACCCTAGCAAAGTATTGAATGTTTGGATGCTCGAGGCAACAAGTCCCTTGTAAATTCTGCAATGGCCGCGTCCCTGAAGCCATAAACCATTGCAAAATACAAAATATTCGTATTGCCGAGGCCAAGAGTGCGTCAAGGTGCCCGCAGATGGTTCCAAGACTGCCCAAGAGGGCCCCAAGAGGCGCCAAGAGCTCGTGGCCCCAAAAAGCGCTCCGAGAAGCTCCCAGGAGGCCCAAAGAAGCCGCCAAGAGACCCGAAGAGGTCCCAAGATGTGCCCAAGACGCGCCCACGAGGCCACCAAGAGGCCCAACAGATACCCCACGAGGCCTCCAAGAGGCGCCCAAACCGCCTCCAAGAGGCCCCCCAGAGGCTCCCAACGACACCACAACACATGTACAAGAGGTCTCAGACCCACAACCCAGGCACGGTAGTGGGGTGGGCCGAAGGCCACTAGGATCCGCCGCCCCCTTTTGATTTATCAAAGGGGTGCCTGGCGTGC